TGAACCACAGCTCCTCGTCCTCCGTGATGATCAGCTGAGTGGACCCCTGAAGTAAAAATCTGTCCCGTGTGTCGTCAGGTGGGCTTGAAGTCGGTGATCGAACAGTTTCCAGATAAGCTGGACTTCCAGCTGGAGGATGGAGGCAACGTGTTGAGCAACGGACACAAACAGCTGCTGTGTCTCGCCCGCTCTATCCTCAGCAAAGCCCGCATCCTGCTGCTGGACGAGCCCTCGTCCTACCTCGACCTCATGTCAGTATGAAGGCCCACACTCTCATCTCCCTGTGTGTGTGTGCTGTTAGTTATAGTACATTACAATCTTCCACTGCTCTATATTTGATTCAAAATGCAGCTTTACTTTACTCTAAACGGCACATTCACATTGTGCCGTTTAGAGGTGAACTAAGAAGAAAGTGGCTAAAATGTGATTCTTGTTCCACAACCTGTGCACTACTTTTTAAATATGTTTTTGTACAGACAAAAACCCTTTTGAGTTAAATGTTCTCCGCAAAAATATCTTTTTGTCACGACCCATAAATGTGAATGTAAAGAATAGAAAATATTATGTTGCTGATTTTGCTTGTAACTTCATTTATATATACTGTATATAAATTTAGCAAAACGTTGATGGTTTAATGCGTCACAAATGTCAAACTTTAGACTCAGGTCTCTATTTCATGTCCCTAACAGATCGATTTAGGGTTTATTAATAAGAGCCCTTGAAACAGCGTCGTCATCCTGCCTGTTTAACCAGTGTCTCTTTGATATTTGTCTTTTCTTTTGTGGACAGTTTAGAAGCTTAAATCTAAAGAAACGTTGCTCCTACTGCGACACTTAAACACAACTGATACCTCAGAGTGATCGAGGGTTTAAGTGTTTTTCTTTTGTGGCAGTAGAAATCACCCACATCCCACATGTGTGGTGCTCCCTGTCACTGCATATGGTGACAATCTAAGTACTTACAGTAACTCTGTGTGTGTGTATCCAAACATATGTGCTTAGACACACACACACACACACACACACACACACACACACACATAAATAATGGTAAATGAAGCCTATAATGAGCACTCTAGTTTAACCCGCGGCCAACGCTGCCTTAAACGGGAGCAGAGCGCTAAAGCTAATGTGCGTTAGCAGTGGAGAGAGACGGCCTTTGATGATGAAGATGATGATGACGGTGGTGTGTGTGTGTCTGTGTGTGAGCAGAACGCTGCAGGTCCTGAGGAAGACACTGAAGCATTCGTTCTCCAGCTGCACCGTCATCCTGTCAGAACACAGAGTGGAGCCGCTGCTGGAGTGTCAATCCTTCCTGGTAACTAGTTGGATAAAACATGGATTTTAATGATAAAATCAGTTTAAAAACGTATTAATCTCGAAGGAAATTCTTGTGCCAGAAACTATAAACACTATTTAAATGTTTATATCTATCAGACAGAACTCCATCCCTGTATGTTGGTTGTGGTTCTGTACACCTGTGTGTTTACATGTTAGTAACGTTAGAGCCCCGCCCCTTCCTGTTGACCACCATTGGACCTCATTCCCGTTTGAATTGTGCCGTGAATTACACTAATTATGTTATGTTAATAAGATCAATTTTTGCGAGTCAAGAAAGTTACATTTTGTCATTAAACTGTAAAAGTATAAGTCTGCAACAGTACGTAATTAGAAAGATTTAACGCCCAAAATTGGCGGGAGCTGCGGGCGGAACCGACGTCTGTCTCTGAAGCTACGGTTCCTGTGTGTTTTGGTTTCGTACCGCGATTCTACAACAACGGGTCTCACTCTTTAGCTAACTTACTCAGCTAGCTAAGTACCTCCAATCGTTGGCTAGCTTGCAAAATAATCTTTTAAATTGTAAAACATATCTGTGACTCATGGCACAATTCAAACGGGTTAAAAACAACAAAGATTGTCTCCCCGTTGACTCATTTCCCAAAATAAGGCCCCATGGGGGACACCGGAGATGGAAGGACTTCGCCTCTCCGTACTATTCCACATGGTTACATTCTCAAGAACACACCAAATAAATGACACTTCACTGGTTCAACTCCCGAGAACCTTTGTCTCAGCTCATCTCTTGTTTGTCTTTTAGACTTTGGAAAACTTTATTGACCCCAAAGGGACAGCCCAGTAAACGCTAAACATAGTGGAGACACAATTAAACACAGAACAACAGAGACAACAACAAAACAACCATGCCTTTGAATACAAAGGCATGGTTGTTTACACGGCTGTCACTCTACTGTAAACTCTGATAGGCTAAGTGAAAGAAAAGAAATTGTTTATCTTCAGATCGTCTGCATTGAACCCGGCACTAAAGTTCCTAGCTGCTTTTCTTCAGTGGAAAACGTTTGTCATCCAACAGAAGAAGGTTCCACACAGTTTACACACATCCTGTACCGCACACACAAACACCAGCTGGGTGTGTTTGTTGTTGCTGTGGTTGTAGAGTGCACCTAATGAAGCTTTAAAGTGAATATTTAATGTTTTTCTAGAGCATCGGTGTGATTTTTAAAGCAGTCAAACCAACTAAAGGCCATTAGTTTGAGCCGCTCGTGAAGTTGTTCCTATAAAACCTGGAAAATAGTTCCCTTTCATTTTTAAATCTTAGAAAACGCTCGTTTGGAGATGCAGCTGACTCTCCTTTCCCCTCCTCTGTGCAGATGATCGAGGGCAGCTCCATGAAGAGCTACGACTCCATCCAGAAGCTGCTGAATGAGACGAGTCACCTGAAACAGGCCATGAGCCCCGCCGACAGACTCCGCCTCTTCCCGACGGTTCACCGCCTCAACTCTAGCAAGAGGGCGCCGCCGCAGACCGCCAAGATCTCCTCGCTGCCGGAGGAGGCTGAGGACGAAGTCCACGACACTCGCCTCTAGACGGCCAGACACACACACACACACACACACACACACACACACACACACATACACACACAGTATAATGTACACATGCAAATTAGCATGTTGTAGAGACACAAGCACAATTAAAAAATAGCAAACATCTGGCTACACACACACACACACACAGCTGTTAACTTTCACATACGTAAGCTGATGTAAGCAGCTAATTCATTGAAAGTAAATTCACACTAATATAATTTGTGATGAGGATGATTTTAAAAAGTGTCTGTAATGGTTTGAGTGTTTGAATCCGGTGAGTTCAGTGCAGAACGTGGAAGCTTAAATTCATATTATGTAACATGTGCAGAGCGACATGGTTAGACGTAATGAGCAGATAACAACAGGTCCTAAACTCTGAGTGACTAAACTCTTTCTTGAACCGTTTAAAGTGCCTTTGCAGGTTTCAGTCGTGTTGTTCTTTGGGAAGCTGGACAGCCTGCGTCTGATAATCCTCAAAACGTTTCTCCTCGAACTCCGTGAATAGTTTGCTTTGAAAAAGCATGAATTGCATCGTAGTTAGTTTTTATCTTGCAAATTTGTTTTTAAAAAACCTTGTATTGGTTTGAATTAAGGGACTTTTACTTTGTAAGAAAATGTTTCTTTTTGTTCTGAACAACCAGCTACTTTTTCACTTTTCAGCCTCTTTAGATTGTTTAAAGTCGGACTGAACACAGAAGAGCCGCCGCTGTAGAAGTCTGACTCAGTGAACGTATCTTGTACGATCACAAAGTGTGACTGTGAGAGCTCATCAGTTAGCTTCAGGTAGCTAGTAGGAATAAATGATGTTGCACATAAAGACATGAACTAAAAAGTCTGATGCTGATACTAAGCCAGCTTGTTCTCCATGTCAGCCTCTGTCCACACTAAAGGGCGACTCCTCTGGTTGTATAGAAGTCTATGAGAAAATGACTCTACTTCTCTCTTGACTTATTACCTCAGTAAACATTGTAAACATGAGTTTATGGTCTCAATCTCTAGTTTCAAGTCTTCTTCAACACAGCATGATGTTCATTTAGTACATTATGGTCCATTTAAACCTTAGTTGTTTCCTGTGAAGATGGAAGTTTATTTTGAAAAGACAGTATGCATGTAACAAGCGAAAACAGACTCATGTTGCTGGACTTTTGCAGGAAAAATGCACGAAAAGTGAGGAGTAATATTTCGTAAGATATCAATAAAACAGGGATGAATTTATATCATTGTATAAAGAGAGTGACATGAGAAGATTAATCTCATGTCTGTAAGTTAAATCAGCTATAATCACTATTTTAAAGTGATTAGTGACTCGTCTAAAACATTTAAAAAAGGAATAACTTCAATATAATCATTCTATACACTGTAGCTTCTTTACATTCTATTAGAATGTAAAGAAGCTAAATTGTTGCCTATTCTTTTCTTTTCTTCCCACAAGAATGTAATTTTGTCAGGTTGATAAAAAAATGTCACTTTACTTCCTGACATTATTGTTACTTCAAACAGATCATTTAGGGCGGGGCTACACAGTGATTGACAGGTCTCTACCATGGCGTTGTCTGGTCTGGGAGTTGTCCGTGTTTTCGTCTTACAACTTGAACTCTTTCACAGTTTGTTTTCAGTTCATAAACGTTAATTGTAAGATGTCTGGTCGCCTAAAAATGTTTTGTTGTACTTTGAAGCTCAGTCTACAGCTTACGCAAATATATCTTTTTCAAACGGATATTTTCACCTTTTAAAGTATAATTCTGTACTTTCAGTCAGTAGGTGGTGATTTAGGGCTACGTCAACGATAAGACTTCTACAGTGGCTTCATGTGTGTTTTATTGAAGTAGTTGGTTAGTCAGTGTTCAACACACACACACACACACACACGGACATCATTGGGGACTCAGAGACCTTTATTTTTCTATCTGTATGCACTTTAGAGACACCCTGAGGTACTCAGCAGCTTCAAGGACACAGTTCTTCTTCCTTTTAATTCCTCCGTAGAATGAAGCTGTAGATGTAGAATTGTGACCTTTTGTTAACAAAACACTCTTTTTACTTTAATTATTCCGCCTCTGTTACTCGATGAATTATAGAGAAGACGCTAATTCATTAAAGAAAAGTACATTTTCTATTTGAAATATATATTTTTTCAGAGCCGCTGCTGTACAAACGCAAACATTAACAAGTTCAAAGTTTTGTCTTTACTTTCCCTCTGAAACTGGAAACTGTTTAAGATCTTCTAACATCACTTTATCTTCTCGTGTGTTGCTCCTTTCATGCTGTGTAATAGTTTTGTAAAGCAGCGATGAAGGTACCGCGGACAAAAGCCTCGATATGTGAACTGTGACAGATTCTGTTCTTTTTTTTTACAGAGTAAATGAAGAACAAAGTTGTTTCTTACTCATAGGAAAGGGACGCAGACGTCCAAAAACAATGTATAAATGTATTTGTTCAATCAACTATATTTCCAGTAAAACTATAAAGATTTTAAGAACGTCGTCATGTTTTTGTCATTTGTGTTAAAAGCCGGAGAAGTTAAAGGAAAACTCTATTTTATTTTTTGGGGTCTTGTTTGTGGTTTACATGAACAATTTCTACTCTAAATGCAACAGTATGTAAAAAAAACATATTTTACCCACAAAATGATACAAACTGACTTCAGAAGCTTTCACAAAGACATATTCTTTCTGTAGGTTTCTCTCCATCTGTAACTTATCTTTAACGACACCGATGGTCGTTAAGAGAACTGCAGTCAGCCTCCTGTTGCTTGTGTGAAATGTTTAAACTTAATCCAACAGAAACGAGTCCGGCTGAGGATAAACTGGAATCATATTACGTTTAAAAACAAAACAACTATGATCAGATTCATGATTTATTTTAATACAAGAACACAAAGGGGGATTTAAAAGAATAAAAAGGAGTCCGATGGGGATTTCTAACAGTGCCATTTTAATGTTTGTGCTTGAAAGACAGTTCTATAAACTCCAAACAGCTATCGTACACATCAAAATCAGAGGCTGACTAGAATCTCTCCTGTACATATGTAGAGATATATATTTATATATATACTGTATATAAACACGTCCGCTTCACGTAAAACTTGTCCTCAAGAGTAAGAGCGAGCACAGTGGTGATGGAAAGCAAAAAGGACGAAAAGAATAAAGTATGAATTACACCGTTGGGCTTAAATGACAGGCATTTAAAATCTTTATTATGGCTTACAGTTGATAGGACGTCCTGTGTTCATACAGTTCTATTACTTATTGCCACAGCGCTGTCACTCTGAAACAAGTGACGGGTTCAGAAACAAACTCCTTTTACAAACACTATGTACACATTTCAGTTGTTTTTTTTTTTTCAGCAGTTTAGCTTTAAGGTTTCGTCACTGTACAAGCATCATACGTCACGTACACCAATCTATAGAGCATTTAAACGTACTAATTCTTATGTACAAATATATTTGGTAAAACCCTGATTCATTTCAACAGTATTTAAACCAACCTTGCAACTATTTAAAGATAAAACACTTGAATATCTCAAAATACTTAATAGCAAAAAAAGAAAAGAAATTAAAATAAAATAAAAACCTGCTTGTTTCTTCTTCTTTGATCCAAAAACACTTTTCACTAAAAAGGTAACACCTTCAGTTACTCTTCGATGGCCTTAAAGCAGTAGTACGAGCACAGTATTTCACTTTAAGTACACAGAAATACTGTGTCAGTACTGTTCTGAGGCAGTTTCCACCATTTAAATACTTTCTATCTTCTACACTGTCCCGTAATAATCTGCAGGTCGATACACTGGAATAAGGCAACAGTTAAGTAACCTCTCGTTTTTTTTCACCCCCCATTTAAAAGTCTTACCAAACCAAACAAATACTTCAAATACTGTGATATAATAAAACTATGGTCCCCAAGTACACATACAGTGCAACAAGTACGGATAACAAGTACAAATACTAAAAGTCAAAGGTCGTCAGGTACACAGTCTGTACACCATGGAGGGAGGTTTTCACAGCGGAGTCAGAGGAGGAGGAGTCGTCTACTTGTTGTTGTTGTGTTCATGCAGGTCTCCGTGGAGGATCCAGATGTCCTCGTGTGATTGGTTGTTTTCGTTGATGTTGTTGTGGTAGTCGTAGTAGTAGTTGTTGTTGCTGCCTGGAGGAGTCGGCTTTGTTCTGCTGCTGGAGGAGGAGGCGGAGCTGGAGGCTCGTGTCTGCTGCCCCCTGCTGCTCGGGACGGGGAGCTGCGACTTTGCGCGAGAGCCCGAACGCCGGTCGCTCGTCTGGACGGACGATGTCGGGACGGATGTCTGGCTGGAGCTGCTGCACCGACGGGCGACAGTCTGCACAAAGAAACACAGAGTTTGGTGAGTGGGAGCAAAGTTTTACTCCTTTACAATCAAGAAGAATCAGAATCAGAATCAGCTTTATTGGCTTCCATGTGAAGCAGATTTATTTTAACTTGTCATTCATATTCTATCGTAACCGGTCATATTTTTTATATTTAAATTAAGCTTTTCATGTTAATGTGCTGTCAAAGTCCTTATATATGCAAACATACAATGAACTGTTTCTGATTCTCTCATTTAAATCAATAACTTAAGTATACGATCCATATTTTGTAATTACTTGTCTAAGGCAGACATGAGTCTGGTGGTCTGAACAAGTTTAATTTTGTTCAAAAATAATTCATAAATTCAACTACCTCATTAGTAACAAGCTGAATTATAGCGTCAGTTTGCTGCAGCACCAAAACAATGAGCTCAAAGACGTCTCTGTAAAGTACAACCTACGAAGCTGCAACAATGACGTATTTCAGTCCTGGACGGGTCAATTATGTGTGAGGTGACACCGAAACACACAAGACACATGATTAAGTGTTGTATAAAAACAATCGCACACATTCAATACATTCAAACAATGACTTGAATCTGTGGGACAACATGCACACAGATTAAACACAGCAGCAGCTATTCATGTCCACGCTGAGCTGTCAATCATTGATGTACATGTTTTTTGTTTTTGTCTCACCGTCTGCAGTCGCTGCTGGACGGCGGTTTCCTGCTCGGCCGTGTGCGGGGGCGTCCCCTCACTGGGAGAGCTGGAGAACAGGATCAGGTGGTCTTTGGTCTGAGAGATCTGCCAACGTTAAGAGGAGCCTCCTGTGAGTGTTCGACAGGTGAGGACTGACATCATTTAAATTACACGGTGGGATGGTGGTGAGCCGGTGTCATCAGAGTCATGCAGGTCGGAGATTTAGGGGATTAAAACTGATAACCAATAATTTAGAAACAAAGCTGTTAAGAGATCATGTTGTCGTTTGCATTGCTCAACAATTGTCTTTCATCAGAACGCCTCTTAAACAGCATTGAAGTCATCTTTAGACACTAAACTCTAATCTCAGACGAATGAAATACTAAATCATCAGATTTTAAAGAACTTTTTTTTTTTAAAGAAACTGTACATTTCAAGACTCAAAGGCCCAAATCAACCAGATAAATACGTCTGAAGTCCTCACACAGGAGCTACTTAAAGATAGTGTCACCACCATGCAGGTGAAGAGCCCCACACACACACATGGTCTCTATATGTGGAAGAGTGACAGCGATGAATTTAAGTCCCACGAACAAAACATGTGACCTAAAAGCATCGACGGCAGCGTCATTAAGACCCGAGTGGCTTCTGAACTGTTTTGCAAAGACTTTTATTTTGTATCGAGCTGGATGACAGAGACGCACAGCGGTAGTCAGAGCTACATCTGTATGTATTAGTCCGTCATTACATTCAGGATATTACAAAGGATTAATGCTCAGTCCTTTGTTTGCACTTTACATTAAATAAAACACTGAATTTAAACTGCTTTTATGCTACATGGACATCATTATTATTATTATTAAAAAACAAACAAATACACACTTTAATGAAGGTTTATAAAAGATATGGAAAAGAGCAGATCTTTGCAGATTAAAAGAGTGAATTACACACAGACCTGCTGTCAGAGAGAGAGAGAGAGAGAGAGAGAGAGAGAGACACAGACAGACAGACAGACAGACAGACAGTACCTTGCTGATGTCCGGCTCTGACTTGCTGGAGCACAAAGTCTGCAGCTCTCTGATTAAATCTGTCTCGTCGTCAGAGAACACAGACAGACCTGCAGGCTCCCTACGAACAGTGAAAGTCTTATTTTAGTTTTTCAAAACACAGACGTGTAGCATCTCAACATGCTAACGATCGCTAACGGAACACACACCTCTGGGCGTCGCCGTTGTTGATGAAGCTGACGTCAGTGCTGGACAGTGAACCTGCAAACACATGTGAACAAACGTGACTTTAAAAAAAGGGTCAGTTCACTTAAACCACAATCACATATTTTACACTCCAGGAATCTGTGCATTAACCTGAGTAAGAGGGACGCTGTGAAGCCTGTCAAACAACGCCCACTGGTGGATACAGCACAGGACCCTCAGAAATCCACATTTCTACATGTAGTCTGTCCCCTTTAAAGAACCTGAACGCAGCTGAAGAATGCACCCTTGTTTTATTAATGGTGCGTTCAGGCGGTCCTGTAAAGTCAGGAATTATCACATGTTGTCTTGGAAAGTTGCAGGATGTAAATAATGAAATCCAGGATTTAACTGCACTTTGTTTATGACTCTGAAATCTAACTTATATGGATTTAGATGTTTCTATTCACCTGGTACCAGCTGTTATTCATTATGTCTTGAAGTGAAACGTTACATCATGTTCATGTTAATGCTTCTTACACTGCAGTTGTTCCTTACACACCGTGTCTTTTACTTCAATTATCTGCAGGGCACAGCTTCCTGGTCATTCAGAGGACCCAAACCCCTGAAGGTAACCCACCGATGCTCTAGCAGAGCAGCCTTCTTACCCTCTCTAAAGGAACCGCCTGAGCTCCAGCTCAAGGCGGGGCTTCCCTTCTTCCGAGGACTGGTGTTGGATCGTCTCAACTTGCCGCTGTCCCGCCCCTTTCTACCTCCTCCGTTGCCACTTGCTTTATAGCAGCCGATGGCCGACAGAGGGAAGGTCCCGCCCCGAAACTCCAGCAGATACCTGTCGATCTCTGCAGGAGATGATGAGGAAAGAAAAATACACATCAGTATCGTTTTATGTTGTACATTTTCTTTTCTATTCTCCAGTAGGAGGAACCGTCTTCATCACGTGTGATGAGAACACGCACCGTGTCGAGGCAGCGGGCAGCCTTGGAGAACAGCCTTGTTGACCAGGATGCTGAGAGCGGCCTTCACCACGGCCTGCTGCCCGGCGGTCAAGCCACAGCTGCTAGGAGACGATCGCTGTGATGAGGAAGAGGAGGAGGTGCTAGAGAGGGAGGAGGAGCAGCAGCGCTTGGCTGTTACCCGCGAGATGATGGCTTCTTCTACGCGGGGGACGACCACGGCGTTCCAGAGCCGAGACAGCCACCTGTAAACGCACAGATACACATTAACCTCAGAGTCAGGCTGGATGTGATCGAAAATGTCACAACAAATACCAGAAAATAGTATGTCAGAAAAAGTCACCAAAAAGTCATAAAAAAGTCATTAAAAAGTCACAGTATAGTATGTCGAAAGTCATAAAAAAGTCATAAAAATGTCCTGATAAAATGTGTCATAAAAATATGCAGGCTTGTCTGCAAATTGGACCTAACCAACACAGCTTCTAGCCTGTGTCTGCTAACACAGCTTCTAAACAAAACCTGGTTGCTTTATTAAGTGGGAAACGTGCAATTTGATATATCACAAACACACACACACAGTAACATATACAAACACACACACACACACACTAACATATACACACACCTGACGACTGCCTGTGTGTTGTTCGGGACCACGGGGCAGGACAGGAAGAGCTGCGGGCCCAGCAAAGCCTCGTGGGTCCCCAGACGGGACAGACAGGCGTTGAGCTGCTGCCACACCTGGTTCACCCACAACACACACCGCTCCATGACGCCAGCAGGCGACCAGACTCCAGTGCCCATCTGGAGGAGGTAGAGGAAGGGATACAAGTTGTTTTTTCTCCATGTATATATTTACATGTATATACACGTCGTCTGCAGCTGGGACTAAACCTCGCACCGACCTTATGGAGCAGCTTTCTGCGGAGGTGTCTTCCCAGCAGGCCGTGCAGCGGCTCCTGGTCCCAGCGCAGCGTCACCCAGCGGAAATGCTGCTGGAGGCGGAGCTCCGAGCCCTGCAGGCGGGGCTTAGTCAGCGTCGCAATCAGGAAGCTGCCTTCGTGAAAGCGGTGGGGACCTGAGGGACAGAAAGTGGATTCATCTTCCATTATTTAGTCAAACATTTATTATAAGATGACGCTCACACACAGTTTTACAGAGGGGCAGTTTATCTCACTACTAAGCACACTTTCTGTATATTTGTTAAACTTTTTTTCGCGTTATTGTTATTCTGCGGTTTTATTTTAAATATTAAAATGTTAATATCAGATTCTAATCCTGGATAGAATCTGCGTAAACATGACGACCCACATGTGAAAGGTTTAGCAGGACATAATACAGAACTTTATCTTTGGTAGAATATGGCAACATGAATTGTATTTAAAGCAGAATAAATGTGATTGGATGTTGAGGTTTTGGGTGATATTAAAGCTGCAATGTTGTGTCTCTTCTCCTCCACAAATAAATCAGGTTTTAATATTTTAACGTTGCTCTCAAATAAAGAATAAAAACATAATGACACAACATAAGTCTCTAGTAGTAAACATTGAGACTATAATGCTATGATTACTGCACAGTGAGGCTTTGAACTAGCCCGGCTGCAGCGAGTCGTACCGGTGCTGAGGACCAGCGGTGAAGAAGAGCTCCTGTTGTCCAGACTGGGGCAGAGGTCTCCCAGCAGGCCTGTTAGGGATGAAGCCTTCTCCAGTCCCTCCAGCAACACCACCACACAGGGACCAGGGGGACCGCCTGGCACACCCGAGCCCACCGCCGGAACCAGGAAACCTGAGACGGGGAGAGAACAATGAGATTTCTAATGACAACTAATGGTGAAGTCCCTAATAATCCCCGTGAAGGTACCTTCACGGGGATTTTGTTTCACTGTTCTGCTTCTCTAAAACGTACTGATACAAATAAACATGATGCTGCACGTATTCATACTTATTCTAATGACCACCTAAGTCTGATTAACCCTTTAATGTGAAGAGAAATTTATAATTGTGTAGCATGTCATCAAAATGTGAAAAAAGTCATAATATAGAAAAACCTCATTGTATATATGTATATTATGTGTGTGTGTATGTGTGTGTGTGTGTCCCCCTACCACAGCTGATGAAAGTCTCCAGCAGCTGCTCTTTGGTCAGGCTCTCCTCCACTTCCACCCTCACCACGTCACAGCCGAGCCCCCCCATCTCTTGCTTGGACTGGTGGAGACGAGAGAGACAGAGAGAAAGACAGAGAGAGAGAGAGAGAGAGAGAGACAGAGAGGTAAGAAGGGAGCACGTTGTCATGGAAACAAAGAGAATCTACTACTCTGTGCCGGGAGAAGCAGCGAGAGGAGAATGTGAACGAGCAGAGAGGGCTTCTCCATCCACACCGTGCTATCAGAGAGAGAACAATCTGCTTCCATTGTTCCATTCTTTATGTTTTCAAATGTCGTAGTACATCAGTATATAAACATGTATTCATGTCTACTTGTAGACCTGTAGACATGTCTACTTGTATTCGTATACATGTATGCATGTAGACAGTACTTAACAGACGACATGGAGACAAAAGAACTGAATTCCTACAGATTAATCAAACAGTCATCAGAAGGCCAACAAGCTGTCGTTTATAAGAAGTCATTGTAAATAAATGTACAACCTTGAAACATTAGTTTCATTTTTTAAAGCATTAATATTCACCAGACTACAGACTGAGCACTGCTGTGACTCTAACAGTATGTCATGAAGTTGTACTGTACGAACCATCTCTGACCTGTAGATGCATTGAAGCCACACTGGACCTGCAGTGTGTTTCATCATGCTGTGCTGAGATGTTATGCTGGTTTTACTGTTTGCATCTTATTTCTGTTTCATTGCATCACACTGTGCAACAGAGTCACATTTAACTTCTCTTTAAAACAGGAGGGGGAGGGGCTAATGGATGTTTCCTAAACCTAAAACATTAAAACAATCTCACTTTAAGTGAGTTAGTCAGCTCTCTCCTTCACTCAAGACATCAAAATGAAGCCTGACTTCCCCGGATTAGATAAACACACTACTCTAGTACGACAAGATCGGAGTGAGAGCAACAAATAATCATGATCATCATTTTGACCAAATAACTAAAGTAAAATGTGGTGTTGCAATGGTGCAGCGTCAGGCCTGTGAGCCGGTGGAGCTCACAGTTTGAATAATCCTGTTAAACGTTGCACCTAACGCTCTGTAGCTTCTCGTATCAGCGCTTTGTGAAACTGCCGGACGTACTTTGATACAGCGAGCGACCAGGTTGGCGATGTATTCCTGACAGCTGCCCTCGAGCCCATGAAAGATGAGGTTCCCGTACTGCTCCACCTGGACGGAGAGAGAGAGAGAGAGAGAGAGAGAGAGAGAGAAACAGAGAGAGACAGAGAAAGAGAGAGAGAGAGAGAGAGAGAGAGAAACAGAGAGAGACAGAGAAAGAGAGAGAGAGAGATCGACAGAGAAAGAGAGGGAGAGAGAGAAAGAGAGAGAGAAACAGAGAGAGACAGAGAGAGAGAGAGAAAGAGAGAGAGAGAGAGGAGAAACAGAGAGAAACAGAGAGACAGAGAGAGACAGAGAGAGAGCGACAGAGAAAGAGAGGGAGAGAGAGAAAGAGAGAGAGAAACAGAGAGAGACAGAGAGAGAGAGAGAAAGAGAGAGAGAGAGAGAGAGTGACAGAGAAAGAGTGTCGGATGAAGATCAGGCTGCACTTATATATTAGTATTGTACTATTAGTAGAGTAAAGATCCAAACATCTCCAATAACTTGATCCAATTAAAACAAAGATTAGCTCATTTAATATGCTGAATCACTCGCCACCAAAAGAAGAAAAACATAAATGAGATTTTTTATTTTGTCAAACTTACACTTTTCAACTATTTTGTGTTGACAATCAAATGAAGGACTTTGTTCCCAGAGGAACGGATAACTTAGTCTGTGAACCACCGACTTAAAGCATAAACTAAACACCTGAAATAAAATGTAACGCGATCACGAACGAGCGGATGAATAAAGAGCTGCTGTATTAAGAAGAGAATAAATTATACTCTACATATGTACTAAAATACTATGTACTAAAACAGCTTTACTAACTTACTCTCAGTTAATTTAACGATTAGTTGAAATCAATAAGAATAAATGTGTTGAATGTCCTTCCTTTTATTATATTATTGTAAATAAAATTGATTAACTGGGAATAAAACATTGATTTATTAATAATAGAACTGTTGCAGCCCAAACTTCCATAAGAAATCGGTTGCATGGCGATGATCTAAGCCGTGAAACATACGTCTCTGTGTGGAGACTCTCTGAGGATTAAAGCGTCAGCTTACTGTCACAACAATAAACCAGTCGTGAAGAAGACTCAAAGCTTTGAATCTGAGCCACGAGATGCTCCTGTTCCTGTTTCTCTTTGATGTTTCCATCATCGACTGTTTTATTGCTCTTGTAAAAATGTAAATCTGTTATCTTGATTTCCACTCAGCTCTCGCTGCTTCACCTCGACACGGCCAGCAGGGGGCGCTGCAGCTGTGGAGCTTCAATCCTCACTTTGCTTTCATCCCACCATCACTTCGTCTCCCAGTCTCTCTCTCTCTCCCTCCCTCTCCCTCTCTCCCTCCCTCTCCCCCTCATGCTTTCTCCCCCCCCCTCTCGCTGCCCCCCCCCCCCCCCCCCCCATATCTATTTTTTGACGTCTTACTCATCTAATCCCCTCAATCCCTCGCAGCACTCCTTTGTTGTGTGTTTTTCGTACCAGGCGGACGTAGTTGTGCAGCAGCGGCAGCGGGAAGAGGTGTTCCAGAGCCAACTCATCGAGACACGACTCAGACAGGCCTGTCAAAAACACACACACACACACACATGCACACACACACAATAAATCCTCAAACCCGCTCTGGTTTACATGCTCAGTGTCAGCGAACAACCGCGAGCGCCGACTCCTCCGTGACATCACACAGCTGCAGAGCTCAAGGTGCCCTTTAAACTCCAGAGGTTGAACAGCTGTTTGTCCTCAGGTGATCTTCAGCTTGAGATGAAGTCATAAATCTGTCACTTCACAGCTCGTAATGCTTCTCTATCAGTGACAGGTGTTAATCTGCTTCCTCATCTCTCACCAAAGATTCTCATTAAATGGTTTTCTTCAGATTGTCACATAATTATTTCTGAACATTCATTTTGAAAGCTTTTTTAAAATTCTTTAAACACCGGTAAACATTAATTTGAGATGTCGAGTAACTAATTACTGCTTCAAAATCTTATTTCAAACCTTCCTGGTAATGTGTAATGAACAATGTGTTGTGTTCACTTGTTTCAAATGCAAATAATGTTTGTTGCAAGAATACGGTATAACTTCGATCCCCCGGATCCTCCCGTCTGCGTGTGGAGGAGTCCAAGAAGCGTTATTATTATGAATCCCACTGCTCGTCTTGGACAGAGCCGCCCCGCGTAGCTGCTTCAGGTTAGTCATTAACGATAGCTGAGAGTCAGGAGAGCTGATCGGTCCGGGGCGTAGGACCCGAACGAATCAGGTCACCGGGACCTCAGCGTGCACGGAAGGCCCGGCCAATCCCTGCGCTTCAATGCTGCACAGGGCGGGTCTTGCCAAGAAGAGCAGTGGGATTCATAACAACGTGTCCAAGATACTGAACTTTAAAGCTAAGTCTTGAAATTGAGTCAGCTTGTCAGGATCTGCTCTATTTCCCACTGGAACGCACGTCAACTCTTCCAGATAAGCACAGCACTCTGACTACTAGTCCATCTTTTCACATTTAATGGGAATGTTTGATTAGTTTTCTGGGACCAACTCACCATTTCTTTTACTAATTGTGGAGAAACTGGAGACAGAATTCTGAAACAGTTATACATTCTGTGATTTGTTTGTTTCTTCACCACCATCTTCCAGCTGAACCATGTGTGCTCTGATGAAGCTCCTTCAGCCCAAAAGCTAAAATAAAGTGCACTCTGCATCGATCTAAGTGTATGTGTGAGATATCTATTCTATCAGTGTTGATCACACCCAAAAAAAACATTATTGCACCCTGATGTTTCCTCTTTGTCTCCATCTTCCTGGGAACAACTACGAGACAACTATGTAACACGATATTCATAGGATGTCGCCTGGAAAGAACTATTTAAAGTAATTAAGTACTAATTAGAGGGGAAATGGAGACGGTATTCATATACACCTCTAATTAACTGTCATATTAGTCTAGAGAGTCTTTTATTAAGTGCACAGCAGGTCAGCTGAACGTGGAAAAGTTAGGAATTTGTTATAGATGGACTAGTAGTCAGAGTGCAGCGCTAATCTGAAGGAGTTGGACGGACGGGTCGATACGGACGTCTTAGTCAGGACTCCACCAACCGCTTCACTTAACGAGACGTCTTCCGAAAAGACGGGAAGAAAACGAGTACAATGGAGATGAAGGAGGAGACGGAGGAAGGTGCAGAAGAAGGATTGATGAACGAGTGAGAGGAGAGTTTGGCTGCTGCTCAGCCGGATTTTCATGGTGCCGGAATTTTATCCGTCTTTTTCCTCCTGACTCACCGAGACGTGACGTTCACTGGATAAAGCAGCAGACAGTAACAAAGATTATTCCAATAATCTGTGGAGCGTAACGGTCTGCCGCTGTGACTCATCTATAATCATCTACAGCGGTGTCTGAGGAGCTGACCGGGTTCCGAGCTCTTTACTGGTCCCAGTTGGGTCTTTCAAAAATGGTGTTAAAACTAAGAAAAGATCATTTGGATACCGCTGGCTTCAACATTCCTTCACCGACAGATCTGAACACCATCAAATCATTTGAACAGATCATTCTTAAAAGATTAAAAAAGTAAAGTTTTGCCCGGTTGGAGAGACAGTTGTCCAACCAGAGCTTTGTAGGCCGGATTAAGAATTGGGAAGTCTTCTTTATACGTAGCTAACAATCGAGCTACATCCATGAAAAATGTGCTGCTGTGCAGGTTGTTGTAAGTCAACAACTCCTAAATCCACCATAGACTGAGAAGTGGACGTAGCCGGCGGAAACTTTCGGTTCTAAAAAGAGAAGCCAATGAGGAAGTGTCTTCAACCTGCATTCTCTCTAATGTCCAGCAGGGGGCTCTTTCACAGTGTGTTCTCAGTTCATGAAAGATAATTCTAACATTTTTGGTCGCCTAAAAAAATCCAATTCAGCGTTCGGTTGTACTCAGCGTCACTCTTTCGTGTCACTTATGGTTGTAAATAAACAAGATGGCGAGCTGAAGATTCTAACATGGAATCCCACCCGGTGTCCTTGTGCATCCTGTCGCAGCCACGAGAAATGCCCAAAATGTGGCACCACAACCGTCTGTCATTATGTTTTATACTTGAAGAGCAACAAAACGGTGTGTGTTGCATGTGCTTCATCTGGAGCATGGATCTATTTTATCATCAACATACATTCATATACTGTACATGCAGCTCTTTCAGCTTTAAATCGTTTATGTTTCTGTGTGGATGAAGAAAGGTAGACCCTGACCTGCTCTATGTGACCTCGGACCAACAGATTAACTATTTCGATTAATTACGATCATTTATTGATTGAGATTCAGGCTGATTATTAATCAGTCAAAAATACTTATTCTATAAAAATGTCCTGGCCTACATGTTCCCTCCCGGCGCTGTGACTCACGTCCTGGTACATCGCTGCCCACGCTGCACATGCACTCAACCTGATTTCTGAGGCTCTTTCATGCAACACATTTGTTCTGATTCTGGTTTTCTGAGCGAACAGCAGACTCTGGTTTGTCAGGTTTGTACCTTTGAGGCGGAGGGTGATGCTCTGGCTCAGAGGCTTTCGGACCAGGTCCCAGGGGGACAGAGGCAGCTCCTGATCTGGCAACCACTCGGTGTCTCCTGGAGGAGGACAGCAGAGACGGACAGTGAGACGTCATCACAAACACAAAGGTGTGAAACAAACTATAACAAAACAATAATAACAAACAAGAAATACACAGGTATAAAAGGCTTTCTACCTAAAGCACAGAATGTACAACAACGTAAACAAACAGAATATTCTGCTTTTCCTTCTCTGATGTAAGAAGCAGGAGAAGCAGGACGGCTTCTCTCACTGGGGCTCATTAGAGGATGTGTAACGTGATGCATCATGAGAGGAGATTTAGCAATTAAAATGTCTTCTTTAGGAGAGTTGAGCGGGTTTTCTTATTCTTATAATAGCAAACCCAGATAACAGAGAACCAAACCAGTATGAAACCACAGAATACAGTTTGAGAAAAACCATAAGATGCTGGAGAGATTGGAGCTGTGTGTGTTTATTGTTTCCTCCTTCATGATGTCAAACATTGTCTTTAACGAAACAGATGCACCTGGATTCAAATCTGATGGGTTGCTTTGTTTTGTTCTACCTACTGTATCTCACTAGAATGAGGAAGTGTGTGTCATTATATTCTGGTCATGTTCACATCTCACATTCTCTAAAGATAAGTCCTGTTAATTGGTATGTTTTGACTCGGAAATTAGAAACAAATATACCTGCAAAAGGATGTTCACTAAAAATAAATAATCATGATATGAATTATTTTTAAGTCATACCATCATATAAAACTGTAAATATTCTCATTATGAAAGATGGGACCAGTGAAGCAGAGCTGCAACGACTATCAGTGAGTTTTCTTTTATTATTGATTAATCTGCTGATTATTTGACTCATTGTTTGATCTGCACTGAAACAAATCAGATGTTTAGAATTCCTGCTTGATAAAAGCATCCTAAATGATGTATTGATGATCACAGCTGACCTACAGACTAATGGACCAATCATTGCACATCCACAGGGAAGTTTTGGCATTTTTGCTTCTGACTTTGATTCAAAATGGATCGACTGCTCAACTAATGAACTCATAATTTAACTGGAGTATGTTCTCTGTGAAGCTGCTTTCTCGGTCGGGACATTCCTGTTAAGAATCTTAACTGAGTGATATAAAATAAACAAAGCTGGACATCAAATCTGTTGCTGATCGACTGATCGATGAACTGAATAGTTTGGTTGAGCACCAGCTCAACGAGTCACAACTCTCAAGAGGCTGCAACCAAACTGCATGAATCGACACATAGAAGTGGAATGAGACACACCTGCAGACACAAAGACACCAAAGAGCGTCTGCAGTTTGACACACAAGACTGACATTTCCTACCCCCCCCTTCCATCTCATCCATTATGCATCCCTCCTCTGCTGCTGCTGCTTTCTTTCATCATCATCATCATCATCATCACCATCATCACCATCATCACCACCATACCCAAAACACACACACACACACACACACACACACACACACACACCAGTCTGTTACATGTTGTGTGGAAAAGACAGTAAACGTGACACTGAGGTGTAACGAAGAAGAAGTCCTCGCCGAGCACATCGATTTCCTCTTTTGTCAGTCTGTGACTCAGACAGACCTGCACTAGAACACACACACACACACACACACAGACACACGTGTAACTTTAACCCTTTAAACCAGCCTCACCAAACCACACACTGATGACATCTCATCACCAGAAATAAACACACAGACAACACATGCAACACATGCACTCCACACGTGTTCCAACACATTAATTATTCATCGGTTCAGAAGAAGAAGAAAAAAAACAGGCCGTCAGCCGAACAAACACGATCACTCAAGGTGGAAGGAGAAGAAAGATGAGGAGGGAAGGAGGTAGAGAGGAAGGGAGGGGCTGCAAGAGAGGGGAAGGTGTGATGAAAAGGAATGGAAAGAAGCGAGAAAGGAAAGGAGAAGGACGGAGGATGTAGAGGAGAAAAGAGGAGTTATATAAAGGGGGTGGGTACATAAAGACTCACCTATAAGGATGGAGGTGATACTGGCGGGACTGAGGCCGAGCAGTGGGCGCTGCGCCTCTTTCCCGGCCGTCTGAGACTCCCCACAGACGGTCTGGAGGTAGGAGGCGAAGGCGAGGCCGAGGGCGGAGCTCAGCTGACACCAGCGCGTCGACCGGTCGACCGACACGCGGCCCAGCGCCGACCGGCTGCTGGTGACGCCGTTGGCCTCCTCCTCCAGGGCCTCCACGGGACACATGGAGCCCGCTCCTCCTCCACCGGAACACTGGAGACGCACCAGGACCCGGTACGAGTCTGGAGGAGAGCAGAGAGGGACCAGTGAACCCTAAAACCCACGAGCAGGCTTTGAAAAGCATGTTGTCTTTAAATAATCCCAAAAGATGATTGTATATTGTCATATTGCCAAAGTATATTGTCAAAAATAAGAATTATAGCTCAAATAATCAAATTAGATTGGTGTTTAGGAAGCAGAATTCTTCTTTAAGGCATAAAACTAACGAGCAAACACACACACACACACACAGAAGGAGAGGCCACTCACGGAGGTTTTCAAGTAGATCTTTGCAGTCATCAGTGGCCACGTCATGAATAGTGCGATTACACTTATCTCTCCTCTCGATGTCCTGTTCACTGTGGCTGCACAGCACCTCCAGACACTCCTACACACACACACACACACACACACACACACACACACACACACACACACACACACACACACACACACACACACACAGATATCATGAGCACAACACAAGACCAAAAAGCTTTTTTTGGACAGTACAGGGTGTGTGTGACCACATACAGCAGTAGTTGTGCAACAGAAGCTCTCGAGTGCTAATGAACGCAGAGATCGGCGGGCGGTGGTCGTCATTTATATTCATGTCAGACACTCAGGTGAAGTCTCGTCTGGTGTCTCCTGCGTTCATTTGAGCTGGCGTTGCAGCCATCAAGGTCGGCCGTCCCGTTATCCTGACGCCGTGGGGACTGATGGCGGGGCTGGACATTAGTGGAAGTGTATAGGTGTGCATAAAAACATTTGAACATAATATAGACTGCAGTCCAGCAGGAGATCAGTAGTGAAAGCAGGAGGCTGACTTAATGACATTAAAAACATTTAAAGCTGCTTAACCGTTTGTGGCCAGTAGGGGGCAGTGTTGTCGAAAATATCAACCTCTTGATTATTCGATACTAGGCTTCATTTTCTGACGGCCTCTTCTCACTCATGGTGCTGTTTTCTTGTCTTGCTGCGTTTATAATAACATGTTGACATGTTAGAGCCTTCAGTGTTTCCCGGTAAAGACCTAGAAAGACCTGGTCCTGGTGGGACCACTACAGTTTCATAATGAGCCAGAAATATTTTCACACCTCGCAGCAACCAGCCAGAGATTGGTTTGGAAAGGTCAAAGGTGAAGGACCGCTGCTAAAGCGTCAACCTCCGTCGCTGAAAAGTGAAGCCAGCGTGGCAGTGCAAAAAACTGCAGTTCCTCAAACGGCCACTTGAGGCTCCAAAAGCAAGTCAATCCCCATAGACCCCCATGTTAAAATGCAAAACTTAACAGCAGCAATAAACACGTTTACAGCCTGGTGCAGAATAACGGTTTTGGTCTCTTGAGCTAATATATCCGCTCATAACTGTACAGAGGGTGAATTATTATTAAAGTCCCGTCTCGTTTACCATGCTTTTTGCATGTGACTTTTTTTTGCCTCGTCATCAATCACTAATGTGTTATGATAAAATAGTTTACTAGAGCACAAAGTTCATAGATCGAGCCTCATAATGAACCCCTCAGAGTGCACCAGATTGATGCATTTGACTTTTAAAATGTACAAAAATTCAGAGGGAGTGACCATCCTGCAGTCTCACAAAACAACATGTGGGAAACACTGGCTTTGTTATAATAAGTCTATTTATCTTTTAATTAATCTTGGGAGGTACAGTTGGATTATCAGAGCGTGAATCATTAAATGAGGCCAAAACAAAGACCTGAAAGAGGCTGAAAAGCTCACGGTGCATAACTGTGGTTTTTACATTAATATGTAGTCAGTTAATTCATCTCCCCCTCACCTTGAGGCCGAGGGCAGCAGCCATGTGTGCAGCCGTCCAGCCGTCGCTGTTGGCCTGGTTCAGCAGGGCTGCGGGCAGCGCCAGGGTGGCGGGGGGGTCAGGGGTCACTGCGGGGTCGCCCTGAGTTGGGAGGCGGAGGAGGAGACGCAGCGTGTCCACGTGTCCGGAGCGCACGGCCGCGTGGAGAGCCGTGCAGCCGTCCTGCAGAGACGTGAAGGTGATTCCCGTGTTACTTAACTCAAAACTCTCTGAACTGAGGTCCATCGATTTCAATTTAGAGTTTATTATTTAAATATCTTTTGTATCACTAAAGTAGAACTGATGTGATGAACAGAAGAGCAATCCAGGCTCTCGTAAATATTAGAACAAGTATCGTTAAATGCCCTGACGATGCCTTGGTGTTCGAAATATGTTGGCTGTTTTAATGATTTATAGACTATAATAAAGGCTTTTTACTTAAATATGTCCCTCCTCGTTGTAACTTGTTGTAATATTTGGTTTTACCTATTTATCCAGCTTTTCCACTGTTTTCCGAGAGCACCTGAGACGTTTTTAATCATCAGCGATTGAGAACACAGAGCAACTTTGTCTAGCTTCTTCTTCTGCCTCTCTGGTATGAACGTCCCACAATAACTCAATAATAATAATAAAGTCAAGAAAGGTTGGAAACGTTCCACTAATGTAGGTTGAAACTGGGGCGGGTTAGTGTGCCGAAAATTTTTCAGTTCAGACTGATTCATTTCACTGAAAAATGCCCAAAATCCTTTGACGAGAACAAGAGAATCATTTTCGGCCCAGTTCCGAATGCATTTTATGCCTCCGCTCTTACAAAAGTTGTGTTTTCTGCTACAAGATGACGACGACGACGAAAAGAAAAAATGGTTGAAAATGCAAATCAGCTGCAACCTGAATAAACCTGATTACTTTTTAATGTATTCTAGTTTTTTTCAAATCTGTTCAAATATACACAATTAACATTACAGATAATGAATGAGCTGTGACTGTACAGACTGTATTCTGTTGCCCAGGATCAGACCTCCTCCACGTTAAATCGTTGCGTTTGACCCGACACACACGCCGGCCAACATTTTCTAAAAATACGTCGGTGCTGAAGAGGTCAGATATGCTACAGAGATGTCGGCGGCTCCTCTGGCTCTGCAGGGACGCCGGGCTGAATGCGGAACAAAAGCAGGTACAGGAACTAAATATAGGGTTCTCATCGCCTGCTGCCACGGCAACTAACAAGCCCCCTATGGTTACCATAGAGACCCAGACTACATCAATTAGCTGGAACCAATCAGAACGAACGAACCCCCCCAGTAGGAACACTTGGGTGAGAAATGCCAAAGAACTAACGTGAAAGAATCACATTTAGTGGATTTCTTTTAACCTAACATTTGCTCAGAGTAGAACACATATGGGGAAATTAGTAAATGTCTGGAGGATGGACAGTGATTGATTAAATGGCACAAAGATCCATAACGTTTCAATTTCAAAAGTTTTTTTTTTCAGTCTGGAAGACCGGCAACAAAACCAATCGGACTTCACCCGGGCACTTAAACAAAATATACATTTTGTGTCAGAATTGGCGCTTTCTAGCGGCGGGGTTGCAGATTGCAACCATCTGAAACTTCTTCCGAAGCGCGTACAAGGACTCCGGTGGCCGATACGCGAATGAACCACAGCCAGCGTTTGGTCATTCCGATCATAGACGTATGTCGATATAAACATCTCATTCTTAGGTAACAAGAACAATTCTTATCTTCAGGAAACTTACTTCATAATATCATATTCCATTTCTGCCAAAAGATCCAAAAGATTTAAACTCACCTGGGTCTATTTGTACACATAAAAAACAACAACACATTTGTGCCATAACTCAAAATGTAATCATGAAACAAGAATCTAGAGCTGACCTTTATTATTCATGGGGGGGGGGGGTGACATGTTTTCCACCAAGTCAACACATTTAATTCCCTGATGTTTAAATCTGAAGCAGTTCATGAGCAGCAGACTTACTGTGGTGGTACGCGAGCGATCGGCTCCGGCACTCAGCAGGACCCGGACACAGTCCAGCCCCCCCGCCTCGCAGGCCAGGAAGAGGGAGGTCTGCCCCCCCTCCGCCGCCACCAAGTCCACAGCAGCTCCTGCAGACAGCAGCACCTCCACACAGCCGGAGGGGGGGGGGGGGGGGGGGGGGGGGGATGTTATTGGTCAATAATATTTTGTATTGTGAGAAATAAGACTACAACCTTTGGCAAGGATTTTGTATTATTACATTATTATTATAGTTGCATTTGTATCTTATAATAGTTACGTCATTTTCTTCCATCATTCGGAAATATTGATTTTGGCATAAAAATATATTAAAAAGTGAGGCTCAAAACCACATATTCCATCATTCAATCATATACACATATTCTCTCTCCATCCACCCATCTAGCTATCATCCATCTATCCATCCATCCATCCATCTACCTATCCATCTATCCATCCATCCATCCATCCATCCACCTATCCATCCATCCATCTACCTATCCATCCATCCATCTACCTATCCATCCATCCATCCATCCATCCAGAGACAATGAAAGACATCCATCAGCCCTTCAGCCAGTAAGAAGAGAGGAAACCTGAGCCTGTCTGCCAACCCTTTAAAACCCTGAAAAAAAGTGTTTGAAATTTCCACATTCTGTTGTACCTTTGGAGTCACGACCACCAAAAAAAACAAAAGAAAACCTGTTAAACCCATAAAATAAACTGTGTGTGTGTGTGGCCGTGTTTCACCAGTCTTGTGGAGACATATATCAGTTGTGTGGACATGCTTTTTTTGCACATGCCCATAACATAAATCACTACATTGGTGTAAGGGTGAGGATTAGGCTGGTAGTGGTTACGGTTATGGTTCGGGTATGTCTCCAGCAAATTAATGTAAGTCAATGTGATGTCCCCAAAAGTCCTGAAAACACAACTGTGTGTGTGTGTGTGTG